CACTAATAAGCCCATTTTCTTCCAAATGTAAATAGATCCTATCCCTCGGTATCTTCTCCAGCATCTTCCCCACCATTGACATCACAAACACTCCCCAGGACCTTACCATGAAGTGTATAAGTCCTGCCCTGATGTGCCTTTCCAAAATGCAACACCTCACATTTATCTAAATTATACTCCATCTGCAACAGGGTGCAGATACATAGAAACACCATACCCTGCAAGCTCCCCTCCAAGCCACTCATCAACCCGACTTGGAAATATTTTGCTGTTCCCTTGGTGTGGGGTGGCTGGGTCAAAATCCTGGGATTCCATCCCTAAGGTCATTGTGGGTCTAGCAAAAAGGGCAGGTTCAAAAAGGGCAGCTGGCTGACTCTGTGATTAACACTGCTGCCTCAGAGTGGCAGGGACATGGGTTGGTCTGAAATTGTTGGTCTGCAGTCTTACCTGTTTGCAATAAGCAGTGATGTTTGTTCAGTACAGAAACCCAACCTGTGCGTTCTGTCAGCCTGGGCCAGCAGGACAGGCAAATGGGAGAACTTCCTTCAAGTTTACAGAACCTTTGAGTAGGGACTCGATTACCAGCACACTGTTCCATTGAGAGGTAACATTACATCAGTTGGAGCTATCCACTCTCCGGCTGATCCCCTGTGAAACTGACCCATTGAGAGTAAAACACCTCTGGACACACAGTGACTTGCTCCTACAGTGTGATCCAGTCATGCTGTTCCAATGACATAGGGATACTCTGGTTGCGATCTGCTGAAGCGATCACATCTCCCACAGGTTCACTGCCGCATTAGATTATTCCCTGTGATCGGGTGACATTGAGTGTGGCTGAGCGAGTAGATCAGCGTGTGGGTGGATCCCTGTGGCTGGGTATATCAGTAACAGGCGGATCCCGGGAGCAGAGGCAATGTCTCAGGCAGAGAGAAGCAGCACGGAGCCTGCTGCTGGGAAACTGGGACAGGATAGCGAGGAGGAGGAGGAGGAGGAAGCCGAGATCCTGGAGGAGAGTCCGTGCGGCCGCTGGCAGAAACGGCCCGAGCAGGTCAGCCAGAGGGAAAGGGAGGGAGTTGGAGGTGAAGACGGAGTGAGGGATGGAGAGGGAGAGAGTCAGTGCAGAAATGGAGAGAACGGTATAATAGGGGGAGGGTGAGGGGAGGGATTGAGCAGGGGAGAGTGAAGGAGGGAGAGGGAGATTGAGGGGAGGGAGTGTGCAGGGAGGGAGAGATGGAGGGAGAGAAAGAGAGGGAAGGGGAAAGAGAGAGGAGGAATGCACTCGCTAACACACACCCACCGATACACACTCATCAACACGTACTCGAATACACTCATTCTGTAATCTAAGTGCACATGCTTATAGATAAGTGTGCATGCACACTCACCGTCTGATACACTGTACACACACTAATGCCCAGTCCATTAGTGTCCTGCCCCAGGCTGAGCTCCAATCTGAAGGGTATGCTTGAACACACAGGTAGACCTCTTGACACTGTTATCATCCTGCAGTCTGGAGTGAAGGAGACATCTTTATGGTATAAACAAACTCACTACGGGACCCCCCTTCTCTCTGTCAGCTCTAGCAGTTTAGCACATGAGAAGTCAATTCTCCTTAACTCTGTTTTAAATCTGGCAGCCGTTATCCTCAGACTTTGACCTCTCGTTATAGACTGCCACACATCTACTTTGTCAATCCCCTTTAGCATCTTCTATCTCTCCGTTAGATCTCCTGTCATTCTTCTAAACTCCAGAGAGTATTGACCTAAACTGCACAATCTGCCTTCATAAGTCAAGCCCCTCATCTATAGAGGTAAATAGAGATAGATTTATATCATTTGCAGACTGTTGGTCCCAGCAAATCTGTCTTGAATGAATTTCCCATCTTGGTTTCCTGCAGCTCCTCAGTCAGAAAAACATTGCTCCTTCCATGTCAGTGCTACCACAAAACACAGGGTTCCTCAGCAAACCATTTACATGCCACAAAATAATGTAAAGGACAGAGCAGTCACATCATTGATCATTATTTCAACAATGCAAAATAAATAATGCATAAAAACAGAAAGTGTTGGGGAAGATTTCCAGTAACCCTTACTTGGCTTTTATTTAAATACTCATTAGCTGGCAATGTCCTGGACATATCCATACTCACACAGACCATTCCCCTCACATGCAGCCAGTATCTACTGGATACATTTCTCTCTGTTTATTCATTCTCTGTTTCCATGTAAACTTGGGATCATCTGAAATTGTTGCCTACCCTCACATCGTGCCCCCACCCACTGCACTCACTGTCTGCCATCAGTTCTCTGTTTGGCAACACTTCAATATTTATATTTGCACCTTCTTCTCTTGTTCCTCCATGCCGTCACTTCTTCCTATTACTGGAATCTCTGACAGCCCCACAATCCTCCAAGCTCCCTGTGCCCCTCCAATTCCGGTCTCTAGCTCACCACCCCCCCCACCCCACCTCCCAATTGCCATTGTTCTGCCAGTCATGCCATGCCATCAGCTCCACAATTTTCCTGAAATCCCTTCACCTCTCACCTTTCCATTAAGGCACTCCTTGAAAGCTACCTTTTCAAACAAGCCTTTGGTTATCTTGCCAAAGTGGTTTTGTTTGTTCGTTGTTGCTCAAATTGGTCATGAAACTTGAGATCGATGTTTGAACATGGAAAAGCAGTTTATAAATATTGATTGCTGTTTGCATTTGATCCTGGCTGCCTGGATTCTGAGAGTTGACCCTGACTCTGAATCAAGGTTGTGACCCAGAGTGGTGCTGCCCCTGTGATCACTGTAATCATGTTTAACATTTCAACATAGAGACTGTCGCTGTGATGGGGTGGGGGGGTGGTTGGTGGGGAGGGAGGGCTGGCAGAAGACGGGAAAGACAGTTTGGCAGAGGATCAACCAGGTTTAGCAGCAACTGTCAAGGACAGGGCATACAGACAGCCGTGTGGAACAAGCTGCACAGAAACAGCCTGCACTCGCACGGACACAACAAATGTGATCACATTTCACTGACTCAACGTGGTTTCAAATGTTGCAGAGGTTACTCAAGAAGTGAGGAACTTCTCCTGAGAGCTTCTGATCACACAGTTTGTCAGCTACACTCTCCATGACTCTTAACCCTGAGAGAAAGCAACATAAAGTTGTCTCTGAGTTAACACAGAGAATGCTGGAGAAACTCAACAGGTCTGGCAGTATTGGTAGAGTGAGAGAAAGAGTTAATGTTTCAAATCCAGTGACCCATTGTCAGATCTCAGTCTCTGAGCATTGTACGATCAGCATTGAAGATCCACTGCTCTGCAGTGATGGATGGAAGCTTTCAGTCAGAATCAGACATTTATAGGCCACCACATCTCTCACTCTCCTCAAGATCAGCACACAGCCAAGCCTGGTAGCATTTGCAAAGCCCTTCGATGTGCCCCTGTCTTTAACTCTAAATCCCAAATAGTTGGGATATATATTTCACACACATGCAGCAAGACCTGGTCAACATTGCGATTTGAGCTGATAAATGTGATCAGGTGTACCCTAAAACTCTGTGGGAAGCTAGGGAAGTGATTGCTGGGCCCCTTGCTGAGATATTTGTATCATCAATAGCTATAGGTGAGGTGGCAAAAGACTGGAGTTTAGCTAACATGTTGCCACTGTTTAAGAAAGGGGGTAAGGAAAAGCCAGGGAATGACAGACCGGTGAGGCTGACATCAGTGGTGGGTAAGTTGTTGGAGGGAATCCTGTGGGACAGGATTTACATGGATTTGGAAATGCAAGGACTAATTAGGGATAGTCAACATGACTTTGTGCATGGGAGATTGTGTCTCATTGACTAGATTGAGTTTTTTGAAGAAGTAATGAAGTGGATTAATGAGAGCAGAGCGTTGGACATGACCTATACAGATATTAACAAGGCATTTGACAAGGTTCCTCATGGTAGACTGGATAGCAAGGTTTAGGTCACATGGAATACAGGGAGAACTAGTCATTTGGATATAGAACTGGCTCAAAGGTAGAAGGCAGAGGGTGGTGGTGGAGGGTTGCTTTTCAGACTGGAAGCCTGTGACCAGCGGTGTATCACGAGGATCAGAGCTGAGTTCACTGCTTTTTGTCATTGATATAAATGATTTGGATGTGAACATAGGAGGGATGGTTAGTAACTTTGCAGATGACGCCAAAATTAGTGGTGGACGGTGAAGGAGGTTACCTCAGAGTACAACCGGACCTTAATCAGATGGGCCAATGGGCCGAGAAGTGGCAGATGGAGTTTTAATTGAGACAAATGTGAGGTGCTGCATTTTGGAAAGGCAAATCAGGGCAGGACGGATACACTTAATGGTAAGATCCTGGGAGTGTTACTGAACAGAGAGACCTTGGAGTGCAGGTTCATAACTCCTTGTACGTGGAGTTGCAGGTAGACAGGGCGGTGAAGAAGGCGTTCAGTATACTTGTCTTTATTGGTCAGCGCATTGAGTATAGGAGTTGGGAGGGTCATGTCGTGGCTGTACAGGACATTGGTGAGGCCACTTTTGGAATACTGTGTGCAATTCTGCTCTCCCTGCAATAGGAAAGATGTTGTGAAATTTGGAAGGGCTCAGAAAAGATTTACAAGGATGTTGCCAGGGTTGGAGGCTTTGAGCTACAGGGAGGGGCTGAATAGGCTGGGGCTATTTTCCCTGAAGCGTCGGAGGCAGTGGGGTGACCTTATAGGGGTTTATAAAATCGTGAGGGGCATGGATAGGGTGAATAGCTAAGGTCTTTTCTCCAGAGTGGGGGAGTCCAAAACTAGAGGGCATAGGTTTAAGGTAAATGGGGAAAGATTTAAAAGGGATCAATGAGGCAACATTTTCACACAGAGTGTGGTGTGTGTATGAAATGAACTGCCAGAGGAAGTGGTGGAGACTGGTACAATTAAAACATTTAAAAGGCATCTGGATGGGTCTATGAATAGGAAGGTTTTAGAAGGATATAGGCCAAATGCTGGCAAATGGGATTAGATTTATATAGGATATCTGGTCGGCATCGACGAGTTGGACCAAAGAGTCTGTTTCCATGCTGTATATCCCTATGACTATATGACTCTAATTAGGAATAGGCCATTCTGCCCCTCAAATCTGCTCCTCCATTCAATGGCTGATCTGGTTAACCTTCACTGTCCTGTCTGTTCTTGATATCCTTCAAACCTCTTGTTAGTCAATGTTCAGCAACATTCAATGTTTTCTGCTTGGATTTCAGCAAGGCTTTTGATCAGGTCCCACATGGGAGACTGATAGCAAAGGTAAGAGCCTGTGGGAGCTAAGGAAATTTAGCAAATTGGTTTCACAATTGGCTGAGTGGCAGGAAGCAGGGGTGATGGTTGAGGGGTGTTTCTGTGACTGGAAGCCTGTGCCCAGTGGGATCGCACAGGGATTGGTGTTGGGGCTCCTGCTGTTTGATATACACAATTTAAACTGAATGTAGCAGAGTTCATCAATAAGTTCATTGGTGAAATAAAAATGGATGGGGAAGTAAATAGTGAGGAGGACAGTGTTAGATTACAGGAGGGTATGGATGGGCTGGTCAGATGGGCTGGTCAGTAGCAAATGGGATTCAATCCGGATAAATGTGAGGTGATGATGCACTTGGGCAGGATAAACAAGGCAAGGGAACACATGATGAACAGTAGGTCCCTGGGAAGCCCCGAGGATCAGAGGGACCCTGGTGTGCATATACAACAGTCCCTTAAGGTATCAGGGCAGGTGGATAAAGTGAAGAAGGCATATGGTATACTTGCTTTTATTAGCTGAGGGATAAGGTTAAGGAGCAGTGATGTTATGCTGGAACAGTATAAAACATTGGTTAGGCCACAGCTGGAGTATTGTGTGCAGTTCTGGAACCCACACCATCAGAGGGGTGTGATAGCACTGGAGAGGGTGTAGAGGAGATTTACCAGGGTATTTCCTGGGCTGGAGAGTTTCAGTGATGAAGAGAGACTGGACAGACTGGGGTCGTTTCCCTAGAGCAGAGGAGACTGAGAGGGGATGTGATTGAGATGGATAAAATTATGAGGGTCACAGACAGGGCAGACAGGAAAGAGGGATCAATGACTGGGGGGTGGGGGGAAGTGTGCGGTGTGGGGTGCTATGATTTAGGGGAAGGGGCAGGAGGTTTAGTGGGGATGTGAGGATAAATGTTTTCACCCAGAGAGTTGGGGAGAGTCTGGAGCTCACTACCTGTAGGACGTGTTTAGATTTGCACTGTGATGCCAAGGTAAACAAGGCAATGGGTCAGGTGCCGGAAAATGGGATTAGAATAGTTAAGCTGTTGTTTTCGGTTGGCACAGACTCGATCTCTGTTACTGTATTTGCTCCTTTCCAGTCTGATTGAATGAATTTTGGAAAATTGTCCCCAAAGAATTTACTCCCTCATTAGTTAGCTCTTCTAAAACCCGAAGGTGGAGTCCACCTAGACCTGGAGTTTCATCAGTTTGTTATGGTCCACTTCCCTTCTGATTCACCCAGTTCCTCTCTCCTGCCCACCTAATGTACAGCCTGTACTGGAATGGTTTTTGTATCCTACAATCATAGAATCAAAAAGTATAGAAGAGGCATTTCAGCCCATCAGATTTGTACCACTAAAGTAACTTTAAATCTATTATATTCCCTCTTTCCCGCACTACGCCCATAGCCTTGAAAATTATCACATTGCAAGTGCCCATCCAGGTACTTTTTATAAATTGTGAGGTTTCCTGCCTCAACTCCCTTCCAAGGCAGTGCATTCCAGACCCTTACCCTCCTCTAGGTGAAAAATGTTTTGCTCAAATTCTATGCTCTAAAACTCCTGTGCTTCACTTTAAAATTATGACCCCTTGTTATCGAGCCTTCAACTAAGGGGAACATCTGCTTCCTATCCCTCCCATCCATGCCCCTCATAATCAGGTCCCCTCTCAACCTTCTCTACCCCAAAGAAAATGACCTGAGCTTGTCCAGCTTCTCTTCATCGCTGAAATGTTCTGTCCCAGGCAACATCCTGGTGAACTTCCTCTGCACCCCCTCCAGTGCAATCAGACCCCTCCTACAGTGCACTGACCAGAGCTGCACTCAGTACTCCAGTTGTGACCTAACAAAAGTCCTGTACAGCTCCAACGTTACCTACTTGCTCTTATAATCTATGCCACGACTGATAAAGTCATGTGTCCTGTTTTCCATCTGAAGTATTAATCTGTCATGCCTCCTTCAGGGATCTATGGATAAACAGTCCAAGATCCCTCTGTCCCTCTGAGCTTCCCAGTGTCCTGCCATTCATTAAGTACTCCCTTGATTCATTCCTTCTTCCAAAGTTATCACCTCAGTACCTTCTGTAGTGAAGTCGGAAGGAAAATATTTGTTCTTTTCGTCCCCCATTTCCTTGTTCTCTGCTGTTAACTTCCTATTTTACCAGGATGTTGCCTGGAATGGAGGGAAGGTCGTACAAGGAAAGGTTGAGAGAGCTCGGGCTTTTCTCTTTAGAACGACGAAGGATGAGAGGTGACTTGATAGAGGTGTACAAAATGATCAGAGGTATAGATAGAGTAGACAGCCAGAGACTTTTTCCTAGGGTGGAAGTAGCTATTACGAGGGGACATAGTTTTAAAGTGAGTGGAGGTAGATACAGGGGAGATGTCAGAGGTAGGTTCTTTACTCAGAGAGTGGTCGGGGCGTGGAATGCATTGCCGGAGAGGGTAGTGGAGTCAGCCTCATTAGGGGCATTTAAGCGGCTATTAGATAGGCATATGGATGATAGTATAAGGTAGCGGTGGAGGTTAGATAGACCTTAGGTTTAGGGTAAAAGTTCGGCACAACATCGTGGGCCGAAGTGCCTGTACTGTGCTGTACTGTTCTATGTTCTATGTTCTATTCTCATTCTTTAGAGACCAACACTCACCTTACTTACTCTTGTCAGTGACTGTAAATATGTGAGAATGTAATTTCACCTTCACTGCTTCCAGACTTTTACAATGCAGAATCAGGCCATTCAGGCCCTCTGCATGCTGATGCTTGGGTAATGTGCTCTAGTAGAAAGGAGTTTGAATCGAGCTCTCCCAGTGAAAGAGAAAGAGAGAGAGACTCAGAATGGGAGGCAGTGCTTGTGTTGCTGAAGGTCAGTGTCCTGTCCCCCACTCAGTAAGCTAATTGAGTTTTGATGAAAACCTCCTACTGACTGACAACAGAAAATGTCAGTGTGTTCCTTCACCCTGAGTGATCCCTGTTCCAGAGCTGAGTTGACGCAGGCACTGAAACCATCTGCACAGAGCACCCCTCCTCCAACAACACACAAAACCTGTTGACCCCCAGCTCCTCACAGCCCCCCTGGATAAATCCTTCAGCCCCCTTAGATCCTCACAGTCCCAAAATCGCCATACACAATCACTGGCTCCATGCTGGACCCCTCAAGTGCCCCTTTGAACATTTCCACACTCAGTGGAATCTCATTGCGGCAGATGTTAAAACTAAATTTCTTTAAATATCTGAAATTAAATGCTAGCCTGATGGTGCCCAAGCAGGCTGCTTTGTCCTGGATGGTGTCAAGCTTCTTTAGTATTGATGGAGCTGCACCATCCAGGCAAGTGGGGAACGTGGAACAGTAAAACACAGAAACAGGCCCTTCAGCCCATCATGTCTATGCCAACTGTGATACCATTCTAAACTAATCCCATCGTCCTGCGCATGGTCCCTATCTTTCTACTCCCTACCTTTTCATGCCTCTGTCTAAATGCCTCTTAAACTTTCCTATTGCCTCTGCTTTTACCAACTCCTCTGGCAGCACATTCCAGGCTCCTACCACCATCTGTGTACTGAGGCTGTGAAAGCCTGTGTTTTTAAATAAATCTGTTGGACTATAACCTGGTGTCGTGTGATTTCTGACTTTGTCCAGCCCAGTCTAACACTGGCACCTCCACATCATAAAAAAGTTTGCCTCTCACATCCCCTTTAAGCTTCCCCCCTCTCACCTTAAACCTTTTCCCCTAATAATTGACATTTCCACCCTGGGAAAAAGACTCTGACTATCCACCCTATCCATGCCTCTCATAATTTTATCAGGTGACAATCCAAGTTTGTACATCCTCTCCTTACAGCTAACAGACTCCAATCCAGGCAATATCCAGGTACCTTCTCCAGTGCTTCCTCATCCAGGATCAGAACTCTACACGCTTCTCCAAATGTGGTCTAACTAAATTTTTATACAGCTGCAATATTCTTTCACAGGATGAGGGCGTCACCAGCCAGGCAGCATTTATTGCCCATCCCTAATTACCCAGTCACATTGCTGTGGGTCTGGAGTCACATGTAGGCCACATCAGGTAGGGATGGCAGCCTCCTTCCCTAAAGGACATTAGTGAACCAGATGGGTTGTTTTTTCCCTACCAATTGACAATGCTTTCACAGTCATCATTAGACTCCTGATTCCATATGTTTATTGAATTCACATTCCACTATCTACCATGGTAGGATTCAAACCCAAGTTCTCAGAACACTACCGGGGTCTCTAGCTTAATGTTCTACCGGTAATACCACTAGGCGATCACCTCCCCCAACTTGTAAGCCAACTTTTATACTCAATGCCCCGATTGATGAAGGCAAGCATACACCTTCTTTACCACCATATCCACTTGTGTTGCCACTTTCAGGGGTATAGACTTACGCCCCAAGATACTTCTGTGTATCAATGCTCTTCAGGGTCCTGCTATTTATTGAATCCTTTCCTCTTGCATTTGACTGCCCAAGATGCATTATCTCACACGTGTCTGGATTAAACTCCCTCTGCCATTTCTCTGTGTAACTTGCCAACAAATCTATATCCTGCTGTATCCTTTGACAATTTTCCTCACTATCCACAACTCTACCAATTTTCATGTCATATGCAAACGTATTAATTAGACCTCCTACATTTTCATCCAAATCATTTATATATGTTCACATGTGAATATTCGGGCTCATTCCCCAGTACAAAGTCTACTCCCGCTACCCTCACCCTCCCCCACTGAAACTTCAATCACCTGGCCAGGCTCATTCCCCAGTACAAGGTCT